CGTTGTGTAGCCTCGTCTGACGTAATCACGCGTTGCGTAGCCTCATCTTACGTAATCACGCGTTGTGTAGCCTCGTCTGACGTAATCACGCGTTGCGTAGCCTCATCTTACGTAATCACGCGTTGTGTAGCCTCGTCTGACGTAATCACGCGTTGCGTAGCCTCATCTTACGTAATCACGCGTTGTGTAGCCTCGTCTGACGTAATCACGCGTTGCGTAGACTCGTATGACGTAATCACATGATGCATAGCCTTGTCTGACATAATCACGCGTTGCGTAGACTCGTATGACGTAATCACGCGTTGCGTAGCCTCGTTTATTCGCATCAAACAGTCGAGAGGGAAACTAGATGGAAACAGTCTAGATTTGAATTTTTATTTATTTAATTTTTTCCAAATTTTGAAAAGTTCAATAAAAATTCACTCTACAACTGGATGGAAACACGATTACTGAAGTACACTGAAGGTGCAATAAAAATATCACAGAGTCAACATGTCAGCATACACACCGTCATAYCTCATCATGGTGGGAACTTATTCAAACTAACACCTAACTGATGGGACTTCCACCAGAGGGTTGGACTTTTTTCATATGTTCATAGGTTTCTGTGGGAATGGGCCCTTTAAACACAAAGTTGTTTGTATTTAGCTGACTGATTTCAGACAGTGACGAGAATTTATTTTTAGCTAATCTAAAGTGTATATATATATATATTAAATAGAATAATAAATTCAAGTGTTCTCTTAATGTTCAGGTGGATCTCAGAGGATTGGGAACATTGTACCAAGACCTGCGGCAGTCTGGGTTTTCAGATYCGGACAGTTCAGTGCATTCAGTTCTTCCATGACGGCACCAATCGTTCCATCCACAGTAAATACTGCAGTGGTGAGAAACCTGAGACCCGAAGACCTTGCAGCAGAACCCCGTGCCCGGCCCAGTGGAGGACCGGATCCTGGTCAGAGGTAATCAGAACCTGCTCCAAACAAGCGGGTCAGGGTTAGTCAGGGTCGGTGTTAGGTCGATGAGAATTTATCATAATTTAATCTATTCTTCATTTATTAATGTTTTGATTTGAACGAGCTTTAACATGACTCAGCATGAACTTCACAGACTCAAATGAAAAAGTAAAACATGAAGCTTTTTATTTAATTTCTGTTCAACAAATAATGAGCCAATGAAATCTGTTGAAAATGTTTATTCCAGGTCAGATTAGAATCATTTTCAAAGCTAAAAAGAACCAGTTATGGGGCTGGGGTTGGGGTGGGGGGCTCATTGTCCTGTGACTCTTTAATTGATTTAATTTGGAGTTCTTTCATGTTTTATCTGAAAACACATCAGCTTCAGTTTATCTTTATAAATAACGAGCTTTAAAACGATTAGAGAATCCAATCAATCAGATGTGAGTGGAGCCGGATCCTTTCTGTCAGTTGTTAATTAACAAGACTTCAGCTCTTTTTCTGTGACTGGAAAATCCAACACATTAGACATAACACTTTTTATCTGCTGTATTTGAACAACAGGAAGAAATATTCTAATATTATTTATATTAGTGCTTTCAGGTTTCAGGGAACTGATTGCTTGCAGGCTGATAAAATTTAGAAGCTGAAGAAGGAGACCAGATGTTAGCTTACAGGTGGATCTTGTTTTCTCAGCCAATTATCCAGATGTTTCCAGCTGCCAGTGTGTTCAGATACCTCAGCTCCTTTCAGCTGCTGTGGTTTGTTCTCTTCCTCAGTGCTCTGTGACATGTGGAGAAGGGACAGAAAGGAGACCGGTCACCTGCAGGATTGGAGACCAGTGCACTGGAGACAAACCCGAGGTGATGAGACCATGCAGACCGGGGCCCTGCTACGGTAAGCACCAGGAAAAAGCACAACAGTAGCAACAAGTTAAACGAAGCAAGAAACAAAAACAGAGCAATTAGCTGATGTCTAAAGATTAATATTTTTTAAGGTACTGCAGATCTTTAAGTGAGTTTTTATGAGAGAGACACAGTTAATAAAATTATAAAGTTTAATACTTAAAAATAATTTTAATAAGCAGAAGAACCCACACTCATCTACTGAAGCAGCTGAATGTTTGGATTTATTAATAGATAAAAAAAGAACAAGTCAGACCTGAATGTTGTTACTAACTCTGTGTGTATGATGAAGAAGCTGCTGAATGTTGTGACTAACTGTGTTTGATGAAGAAGCTGCTGAATGTTGTGACTAACTCTGTGTGTATGATGAAGAAGCTGCTGAATGTTGTGACTAACTCTGTGTGTATGATGAAGAAGCTGCTGAATGTTGTGACTAACTCTGTGTGTATGATGAAGAAGCTGCTGAATGTTGTGACTAACTCTGTGTGTATGATGAAGAAGCTGCTGAATGTTGTGACTAACTCTGTGTATGATGAAGAAGCTGCTGAATGTTGTGACTAACTCTGTGTGTAGATGAAGAAGCTGCTGAATGTTGTGACTAACTCTGTGTGTAATATGAAGAAGCTGCTGAATGTTGTGACTAACTCTCTGTGTGTAAGATGAAGACGCTGCTGAATGTTGTGACTAACTCTCTGTGTATGATGAAGAAGCTGCTGAATGTTGTGACTAACTC